CCGAGTGCTTCCAGTGGCTGTGGTGACCGGAGTGCTTCTAACGGCCCGTCCGGCTCCAGTGACCCGAGTGCTTCTAACGGCCCTAACGGTTCCAGTGCCCCCGGTGGTTATAATGGCCCTCACAGACCCAGTGACCCAAAGGGTTCCAACAGCCCTCGTGGTTCCAACACCCACGATGGTTCTAACGGCCCTAATGCTTCTAACGGCTCACCCAGCTGTGTTCAGGGCTCACAGAAGGAGGGCACAGAGGATCATCAGATAAACTGGGCTTTTAGGAAAAAAATACATAAATAAATACATACATACATACTCACACACATGTATACATGTATACATGTATCTTCCGCAGCCGAGGCCGCAGTGAAGCCCAGTGAAAAGGCTGCCTGGGACAAGCTGAAGCTCCTGCTCAGCCCACACCAGGCGGGTTTGCTCAGAGCTCCCTGTAAAGGGCAGCCCTAAGCTGGGACAGATCCTGGATAACTTCCCAGGAAGCAGCAAAACATCTCACCGGCATCGGGAGGCCTCTACCTCAGTCTCCTCAGTGAGCGAGGCGTTGGCTCCTGTTGCATAAAACATGGGAAAGCAAACGGGATGAAGATGCATCCCCCCGCAGCCCGCTCTGCCCCTGGGCTAGGCCGGCCATGTCCCAAACGGCTATGAAGCTACCCCGAAATCAGGTTCCACCTACACTCCCCTTCTGTGCTAAATGCAGGAGGCCAAAGATGCAAAGTAAATGCGGTTCAATCATTAATCCAGCTGCATACGTTTATGGCAGTGTATATAAAATATTTGCAGTCACAACTGCACGTGGTGCAAACACGCTTAAAAGTGACAGTATTTATGTATTTATGGCATGTGGTTTATGTGAGAAAGTCTTGCATTAAGTGGTTAAAGTTCCTTAGCTTTCTCTGGCTGTAAGCAACCTAACACCAACACGTGGTTAAGTCTAACCACATACCTTTAGCTGATGCTTTTGACTACACAGTGTTGAGATTCAAAAACCTGTAGGTAATATGGGAGGGCAGTATTCTTCCTGAATCGTTATTGTTTTAATGGAACGATTGCTGTCTTCAAATAATCCACTAGATAGGGTCCCTTTTTTTATAGGGCCTTAGTATTGCACTGCGATCTACTTCAAAAGCACAGTAACGTGGAGGAGTCTTTTTGCATCCCCAGAACAAAGTCAAAATACTCTCTTCTGAGTGCTTCAAAGAGAAAGTACATTTTACTTCTAAAAAGTTGAGATTTTTGGCAGAGCTATGACTACCAGGACTATCCCAGAAAGCAAGCTGCGTGGAGGAAGGATGCTTCAAGCACCTGTAATTCCAGGAGGGTATTCACAAGAAGTGCAGCTCAGCTGCCTGCCGGCTCACCGTGCCGACCCAAGAAAGATTCACACTGCCGTCATCAGGTTTCCAGCATACGGAAACAGGCAAATCCAGCAAGATTATCTTGTGCTGAAAGCACTAGATGAGGGCTGCGCAGTTCTGATTTCCGAGTAACCTCAGATGAATCACGTCCTTTCTCTGCTGTTCAGTCCTGCCACCATCAAAAGAGAAAGGTGATCTTTCTGCTTGCCCTGCAGGGCCAGGTGCATCAACTGCCGGCTTTTTGGGGCAGGGATCTTCCTCCCGCAGGGAAGTTTGGTAATAAATGTGCCAGGATCATAGCTGCAGTCTTTCAATACCAGCAGAAATGCTAATAGCTAGAAAACACTAGGAAAAACAGAACAAAACAAAACGCACTGAAAAGCAGACTTGCTGGTTGATTAGCTGTGAAAATAAGGTGCGCTAGAAAGGGAGGGTGGTAGTGATTAAAGTCATTCGATTATAAATTCAGCCATTTCCCCTCGCTGAGTGTGTCTGACCCAATTTTGAACCCTTCTCAGAAGAGTGACTCACGCGCCGCTGGCTTACGCGGCGGCGTTCGAGCGAAACTTTTCCCTCTGTCAGCTTCGCCCTGGGAGTTCCCCAGTGCCAGACCCAGGCCAAGGCGCAGAGCCCTTCCCCATCGTGTCCGCAGACAGCGAGGGACTTTTGGTCACGCCGCGTCAGCGTCATGCGGGGAGCGCTGGGCAGCGTGTAGCCGAGCGGGCAGCTGGGAAAGTTGTTGGTGTTTTCGAACGGTGAAAGGTAAACAGCAAAGCTGATGGGCAGAGCACGTCCAGAAGGCCCATTAATCTCAGGCACATCTCTAGTTCGTGCGTGAATGAGATTTTGATGTGCAGAAGAAACTTATGTATATTGAAGAGCAGCTGAAAACATGGATTTGGGAGTTTTTGTCTACCCGTGCACTGAAAGGTATGCGCTAACTGTAATTGCTAGAGAAATCCCACAACGCATCGTGTGTTTTCCCTTCATCAAACCAGACAGGAGTCTGCAGCCTTCTGGTTTTGTTCCAGCTGATCTTTACCTTACCTTGAACTTATGCAGAGCCAAGGAATTTCTTCTCTTACAGGCTAAAAGTCTGCCAGGAAGAAAATCAAACTGACTGGGTGTGTCTTCATAAGTATGGTTAGTGAAACAAGTGGTTTTCACCATCAGTGGATAAGTGGTGAATCTTAAAGTTGGTATCTTAAGGAGAGCCTAACAGAGACAGGAGTGAATTGAAAATAGATTGAGATTTAATTAAGATAGAAGGGAGAGAAGAAAGAATTGGAATCAGTCCATCTGATCCTCTCCTTGAGCTCCAAAAGGAAAGAAAAAATCCATAAAAGATAAGGAAGCTCTCAAGAAATGACACATTTCACTTCTGCATTTGAGATAGAGAGGTGAAATGAATCAATTATAAAACCCAGGGACACCTCATACATCATGTAGTGAGTAATAGGTGAGCAATTTGGGGACCACCGGGGAGTAAGAGGGAAATCACCCACTTTTCCTTTATTCCTTCATTAACCTCTTCTCAGGGTGTAGTGTAAAGAACCAGGTTTAACTCAGTTAGGAAGCCAAAGAAAAGAAAATAAGACAAGAAGATCCCTGGTCCCCCTGTGGTGTATGCATGACCCCAAATCAACAAGCGCTGGATTCAGCTTCAGCATTTCTTCTGCTGTTGTTTAGGGTAACATGAACTTACGGCTGTTTCCAAAACATGTCACCCATGTACAAAAAAATCACAAATGTACTAGAGTAGGAGGCCAAAGTAAAATAGAAATAAGCAAGCCCATTCCTATTCCCATCATGTTTCAGCAAGCCTTAAGCAGATTAATGACTTTGACAAAAGCTACCTCCTCAGACTCTTACCCCTTTCCCTCCACTTCGGAGTTTTCCCTGCTACTATTTTTAAACCACTTCATAGAAGGTAAATGTCATTGCATTGTTCATTGTTGACCTACACATAAAAAAGTAGCTTAGAGGAAAACCACAGTGGTCTGTTTCGATGCGAAGCCTCACCTTGCTGAGGCTCTTCGGCACCTCCCAGAAACTCGACCCCCTGCCGTCACGATCGATGCACCCTAATCCCGGGAACACGGTTTGGGAACCCCTTAGCTTGATACCATCCTTCAGAAAGAATCTGACTGAAGGGAATTCCCATGGCGTTGCACAACCAGAAACATCTGTGTCTCATGATGTGAGGTTTTAAAGGTCAGCCTTTCCCTCTGAGAATAAAACATTCTTATAGTGCAGTCAGAATATTTCTCTAAGCTGTTCTGGGGTAAATTTAAGCGAAAGAGCGAGATAAAGCAGTTGTGTCACAGCAGCACAGACAGAGATTTGTTTAGCTAGTTTTAGTTTTAGCTAGTTCTAGTTGAGTTCTAGTTGGAAAGCTGGTCTGTCATACTTCAAGTTGTGTCCATCATTGACCTGTGGAGGTGGTACTTTTCCTTATGGCAGGTATGAGCTGATAGTTTTAATCGGGCAAAAGTGGATATTCCTTTTATTTGTGCAGCAGTTGGAGAAAAGGGGTTACCAAGCAGGAGCTCGCCCTGGCCAGGCGCTGCAGGCTGCCTTGTCGCACACACGGGCACAGCGGCGAGCTCTGCCCCGCGAGGCCCGGGTCACACGACTGTGCCTGTGGAGAGGGGAGAAGAGCACGAGAGCGGGAAGCAGAGGTAGAAAAACCACCCTCTCTTGATTCTGTTTGCATAGCCTGTAGGAGAGCATCGTTTCGATTTTTTTTTTTTTTTGGTGAATTGAGCAGCTGGAGTAGACTTTCATAGAGGGATATATACAAAGATCTATATATAGATGGGCCCTTTGTAGCATATCGATTTCAGCACACTGTGGTGATTAAAAAAAAAAAAAAAAAAAAAAAGCAGGCTTTAGTGGTCCGTTTGCAATGACTGTCTGATGAAGTAAGTCTCCTAGGGAGGAAGTATAATCAATTAGTCATGGCATGTTTTCCTGGAGCAGCTTTAAGAAACAGCAAAAACAGATGTGTGGCTGAGTAGATTAAAAAAAACAAAAACACCTATGTGCGCTGTAGATAAACTCCTTCAGGTCATTATTTCTGAGACAGGGCATGAAATGAATGACTTGAAATCTGAACTGTGATCATTAATATGGGATGTGTAGGCATGTTGTGGATTGTAAATGGTGGCATTTAAAAAACAAGATTCTAGTGTCAGGAAAAGACTTGTTCAAATTTAGATGCAGAATTGCTTGGCAGGTAGGATTCTCAGTGTTTAAATCCTTTGGAGGAACTGAGTTCTTCACAGAAAACGTCTATCTAGGCTTACACAGACAGTGAAATATAGCAGAACAGAATGAGGAACAAAAGGCCAAAGCAGCTGTCAATTTTGCTTCTGGGCTTTACTTACTACAGAAAAATGAGAGTTTTCCAGATTCCAGAGAGCAACCCAAAGTTATGGGAAGAGAAACAAGCCTTGGAGACAGGAATATAACCCAGCTTTGGGCTGTGAGTGTCAACGGTTTTGCTGTCTGTATATAAGGTCATAAATACGTTGATAATATGTGACTTCCCTAACTACAATGTCCTGTGATATGGCGAAGAAATTGGTGACAAGCTTTCACTGCAGGCACCCTGGTAGGAACGTGACAGACCTCCAAGATGCAGCGAGCACAAGCACAGTCTCACAAAGTGTATTCCCAAGGGACTGGGGCGCCTCTATCTGACACACTAAGGAGCAGAAGGAGATTGAAACGGCATCCAGAACTTTCAGGGTAGAGCTGAGTTTATCATCTTCAGGGGTGAGTAATCTTTTTTGAGACGATCATCCGGTTCAGCTATTTCCCTTTTACCTGACCTGAGCAGTCACTGTGATTGCAGTTTTCACAAAGATTTAGTGTGTGTAAGAGAGGGCCATGAGTTTAAATGAGGCATGGTTCGGGACCACTGGGGAGCAAGGATGCTTCTGGTATGAGGCCTAGATGGGAGATGTCGAAATACACAGCTTGCAAATTCAGATGTGAACCAGATTAAGCAATATTAGTCTCTTGTTGGCGCAGCACAACCCAAGGCTGCTTGTCTATTATAATAGATTAGATATTTGTGCACCATCCTTTGGTGACCGGCTTTAACTCACCTTAAGCTGGCGCCTTAAGCAGGTGAAGCTATGTGGGACTGTGTGTCTTGAGTTACTGTCGCCGGGACGTGTGGAAAATGTCAGAGCCCAACTCTCTGCCAAAGACACATTCAAAAGTCTTCTGGGAAAAGTCCAGCAAGTGGTAAGATCTTTTATGTGACAAATGAATAAGCTCTGAAGAAAGAAGAAGAAATGAATAAGCTGTACATTGGAAAAAAAAAAAAGAAAGAAATTTGTTGTGACTCAGACAAGAAATTCAGCCTGGGAGAGAGGGGGGCTGCTCCATATACAAACACACTTGGAATTCTGAAGAGTGGACCGGAGTGACCCCCTAGCGAACAACTAGGGGGTTATCACCTTAGTTCCCATCAGAGCGTAAATAAAAATAGTTCACCTACCACAAACATTTCTGGCAAGTCCATGCATACATTTTATGCACGCTACAAAAGACCTTTTGGCACAAGATACCAAAAGGCACATTTACTTGCAGGATCAAGCAGGAACAAATGGCTGAGTTTTTGACAAGGTTGTTTATGTGACAGCCCTACTTGAATGTTCAGATGTTTGGGAGCTTAGTTTATGTTTTCTTTGTATAACATGACATGACTCATCTTCTCAACTGCACTGTTTTAAGAGTGACTGGCCACAGGACTCTTGATGGGCCAAGATCAATATTATGATACATGGTTTCTGACAAATCTCATTGTCCTACTCTGTATACCTACTATCTATATCTATAGGTACATCTCAAGGATTCCATGCAACCGAATTGAAAAGTCTGGTTACTAAAATTATTGCAAATTCCCCTACCCCCTGGACCCAATCAAACAAAGTGAAACCAAGCTTCTGGCTGCATATGATAAAAGGCATCTTCAGGTACAGGCGTTTTCTAAGCAACACTGAAGAACAGAAAAATCCGTGCAGGTAGCAGATTTAAGGGAGGAAAAAAACCTCACCGCACCCTAGCTTATGTGTCCAAAGTGACAACACACCTTTATTTAATAAAATGTATCATTTTTCTTGGTGTTAATTGACTTCTACCAGCGCTCAGCAGAGAAAAAAAAAAAAGGGAGATTCAGTCTTTTAAATACCTAACTTGACAGTTTTGAGTGGTTTATACTTCAGGAGCATATCTTCATCGAACCTAATATACCAGTGTCTCGCTTCAGTATTATGTCGCTTTGCAATTACAGGTGTGAGAACCTAAAGCCCCTCCGTCCACTTGAAGGTGACATCATGCAACACTGGCTTTAGGAATGAAAGCCTAACAAAACCTTTGTGGAGTATCTTGCCTTACGAGAGCACAGATAAGAGTTTTGCAGGCAGGGAAACACACCTAGTTTTCAAGGTGAAGTAATTTCCCCACGTGAGTCAGAAAGAGCTTCAGCTGAACTCCCCGTGCCCGTGCCCATGCTGCAGACCCAGTTGGTCTTAATACCTCCTAGCTGCAGGGCAAGAATTGGACAACAGCAGGCTTCACTTCTGCAACCATATCCACTTTTGTTTAACTAGGCTTTCAGTGTATTTAAGCAGCATTAACTGTGCTTAGGAATCATACTAAAGAATTTTAAGCGTGATGAGTCAGAAAGAGCTTCGGCTGAACTTCCCATGCCTGTGCCCGTGCCCATACTGCAGACCCAGTTGGTCTTAATACCTCCTAGCTGCAGGGCAAGAATTGGACAACAGCAGGCTTCACTTCTGCAACCATTTCCACTTTTGTTTAACTAGGCTTTCAGTGTATTTAAGCAGCATTAACTGTGCTTAGGAATCATACTAAAGAATTTTAAGTGTGCTGTTTGCTTTGTTAAAGGAAATGTGAACAAAGAGAGACAGAAGCTGGCAAAGGTAACGGTGAACTACGCGCGTGAAACTTTTAATGCTCTTCACAAATACAGAAATGTCATCTTCTGTCATATCCCTGATGCACACGACAAATCATTTCACAAACAACAGTGGAAAGCTTTTGGGGAACCTATTTCTGAAGTTTCTTGCTGTCTTACTAGAACACAGTTCTTTCTTTGATCTAGGGATGGTGGTGGAAGTGCTGCCAGCAAGCAAAGGGAGGGGATCCTCGCCCTTTACTAGGTAGAATCCAAATACTGTAGAACATTTCTAAAACAAAAACAGAACAAAGTAAACCAAAAGTATTTTGGCAAGACTATTTGAATTTTGCACCCGCCTTTGTCTCACCTTTTGGGTGAGGATTTTTAATTTGCGGTTACAAGATAGGCAGAGGGAGCTCAAAACACTGAGTCTTAGCACTGCTTATATACTGCATGCCAAGGAAAAAAATCACTTTTGTGTGGTTGGATGCTAAAAGCTCTGAGGTTTAACAATTAAAGAATATTGATAAAAGAAAGGGAATACAATTTCTGGAAGCTGAGGAAGCTGCCACTGGCATTATTTTATTTTTGAATGCTTTGCTGTCCCAGGAACATGCAAGAAAGGATCAATAAGGACATGGAATTTGTCTCTAAAACAGAAAATTTGTGCCAAAAACTCCTCCCCTAAAAAAAAGAAAGTTAAAAGCACAAGCACAGTTGCTTTTTTCTTCAAGTTTTGACTCTCCATCACAAAATCGTGATAGGTGGTGAGTACTGGAAAATATTCAGCCATTAAATAGGGCTGTGTGTGATGCAACTGAGATTAATAGGTCTCAAATACAGTTCCTCCTCAGACTTCTTCCATGGGAAATAAAGATTTTTTAATAAAAATACTTTGGGTAAGGAAAAATGTTTTGAGGGTCTTAAGCTTTGGAAAGATGTTAGAAATTAAAACAAAAAAACAAAAAAAAAATCACACCCTAAACAACAAAAACAACAAAAAAATACTCCCCCTTCCCCAAATCCAAAACTAAAACCCAAGCCCAACAGAATCACAAAATGAATCAGAGAGAGATTAAGGTTGGAAGGGACCTCCAGAGACCATCCTGCTCAAGCAGGGTCACCTAGAACATGTGGCACGGGGTGGCATCCAGGCAGGTTTGGAAGATCTCCAGAGAAGGAGACTCCACAACCTCTCTTGGCAACCTGTTCCAGGGCTCTGTCATGCTCAATCAAGAAGTTTTTCCTCCAATTCAGGCAGTACTTCCTGCGCTTCAGTTTGTGGTGGTTGCCTCTTACTCTATCGCTGGCCAGCACTGAAGAGTCTGGCTCCATCCTCTGGCCAGCCTCCCTTAAGACCTATCAGCACACACTGATCAGATCCCCTCGCAGCCTTCTCTTTTCCAGGCTAAACAGGCCCATCTTTCTCTATCTTCCCTCACAGGAGAGATGTGCCAGTTCCCTGCTCATCTTTGTAGCCCTGCGCCGGATGCTCTCCAGCAGCTCCATGTCCCTCTTGCACTGGGGAGCGCAACACTGGATGTGTGGCCTCAGCAGGGCCAAGTGGAGGGGCAGGATCCCTCTCTGGGCCAATCCACAGAGCTCTGCCTCACGCACCAGAGGTGCCCTTGGCCTTTTGGCCACATGGCTGTCTTCTGGGCAATGTGTTGTCCACCAGGACCTTCTGCGTAGCACTGCTCTCCTGCAGGTCACCCCCAGCCTCTCCTGGTGCCTGGACTTCTTCCTCTCCAAATCCAGCGTTTAAACAAAGTTTCTTTACGCATTGCAAGGACCAGATCTTGGAAGGTGAACAAATTATTTCTCTAGTATCATCTCTGGATATATCTGAAGCATGTATCAAAAAGAAATCACAGGATTCTTGCTTAAGTGTTAGACATTATGTATATGGAATCATTACTCGCATCATAACATTCTTCTTTTGATTCTTCTGGCAATCCTAAAATGAGCCACTACAAGATTTTCTGTATGCTATCTTCCACCCAAGCTTTTTTTTTAATAAGTAATATTATTTGTTTGAACTCTATTGCAGAAGGGAGTCACAACTAAGAAAACTAATTGAAGTTGTCAGGAAAAAAAAATCCCAGAAGTCCAGCTAAAACATAAAGTGCCACAGGAAGAGTTGCACAACACATCTCTCCTGCAGGGGAACAGAGAGCACTGACTAAACAGAAGGCACTATGTAAACGCAGCAGACCTCGCGCTGCCTTTTGGAGGTTGTGAATGTTGCAAGATATTTACTTACCAAAGAGCACAGTGATGATGGGAGTGCTCCCATTCCATATTCTCATTCTAAAGCCTCGTTCAGAATATGAATCAACACTTCTTTCTGATCTCTAAATCAAGTTAAAATCCCATGTAAACCCTTCTCAGTTTTAAGCAGTATTCTTCCCAGCATGTTTCAGGAAGGGCAGTAGATGAACACACGTGGGCGACTTTCTAAATATCTGTAATGTAGTTTTGGTGTCACTAGATTCAAAGAACTAGGAAATCAAGAAAGGGATAAAGAAGTAAATGTGCAAAATTTATTATGTTCTCCAACGAACACAAGGATATTAAATTTATAAAATTATATCACATCTTTGAAATTAAAAAGAAGTATCAAAAATTGAGTCACTTCTTACAATTAAAAAAACAAAGCTCATAAAGTTCACTCAAAATCAATTTCTTCATTAAAAATAAACTATTAAAAAGAATAAAAAATGATATGTAAATTGAAAAAAGTCATTGCAGTGCAGCCTTCTATTTTGCATAAAGGAGAGTCTGTTAGCAAGATGAGACCAAATTGGAGGACAAACGTCCCCATCACTCTGTTAAAAGAGATTTTATTTATGAAACTTGAGTTCTTGTTCTAATTTCAGAAATAAGTTTCTCTTTGTTGGGAGATTCACATTTCTAAACACAAGTCATTTAAAAGCAAGTATTTTACACTTCTGGGTATCTAACCGTAAAAAACAAACAAAAAAACCCAAGAACATGCCTTTTAACATGCCTTCGCATTAAAGTACTACGTTTTCTTCTCGCAGTGTACATCCGGCTGGGACATTCATTGCTTGTTGCTGTCCATTGTGCAGGACAAGTTGACCAAACCTCTCTTCACAGAGAGTTTCTGCTGTTAAACTTGTCTTTGTGGCTAGGCAGAGCGAAGCTCCGCGCTGCTCCTTCCTCGCGCTGATCGCTGGGCACGGGTGACGAGCGCGCCCCGATGCAGGGACGCAGCGGCAGGCACAGGAGAGCAGGAGCACCCTGCAGCATGGAGCTCTCTCCACGGGGCCTCGGCAGAGGCACCTCGCTGAGGCTAGTGCTGTCTTTGCATCTCTGCTTTGTATCTCATGGGCCCTGGGGAATGCGAGAGGTTGTCAAAAGAGTTCTTAGAATTGCATCAGGCATCGGTTTCCTCCTGCCTGTGTAAACACCCAAAGATTCAACACTAAAAAATGTTGAATCAACAAGGTTTCTGTCACGGTACACGCTGGCATTCAACTCAAATCTCCTAAATAGTGAAAAACTTTTTACAGAACATCAGACGACTTTCACTGATGTTCTAGCTTCAAGTATATGAAGTGTACAGATCTATTCCTCTTTGTTCAGATGGCATCCTTCTTATCAGCCATAAAATTCAGTTAAAATGGCCTCAGTTAGCAGAACTCAACTGTCCTTTGACTTGATCCCACTTGCAGCAGAGAGCGAATTTAACTTTCCACTAGCAAAGTGCAGGTTTGGGAGCTTCGGCACCCACAACCCAAAGTCCTTCTGTCTTCATTAGGTTGAGACCTTCATAATAAGAAAGTTTAAGTGCCTGTTATATGGCTAGTCCCATATTTGAGTTTTATTTTAAGTTACACTAATTCCTTTTCTTTTGACACTTTGCTCCCTGAATTATCATCATCATTAGAATAATTTCCTGAATCTCGACTGCTCTGTTTAGAATGTTGGCCCTCTTCAAAATCAACTTGCTTTGTTTCTTCCGTGATGATACTCTCAATTATACAGAAGTTTTCTGTTGGCTCTTCAGTTAGCAGATATGGACAGCCAAAAGGCTGTCCTCCAAGATCCTGCAAAAAGGGAAGCAGAAGACAAAAAAAGAGAAATAATCATATGTGATACCTAAATAACACCCCAATCTACAAAGCAACTGTACAAATCCAGTTTATTTTGTAGGATTATTGTGTTTGCTACCTACAGCACACTATTTGTCTCCCTAGCAAAGTTAGGGTGAAGTTTAGTTGCATTAATATAATCAAGAACTAATGAATGACCAACACTTTAATCCTAACTTTTTTACTATGTTTACAATTGTCAATCATCTATACAAATTACACAAATCTGACTCAAGAACTAAAGAAAAATACCGATCTAGTGCATTCTCAAAGAACATGCAGTAACAAGTGGGTGACAAAGGCACGTTTGCAAGGTCTACAAATGATGATGAGTTGAAAAGTAAAATTTGAAGGAAGCAAGAAAAAGTGAGCTGCCTGGCAGAGCAGGATATCAAGGCCTTTAAGGCTCTCTAACTTCGTCCAGAAATCACTGTATCCTATACATCTTAAGAGCTTCAGTAAGGATGAAATACATTAGGAAGGCTGTACATGGCCCAATGTTCAAAGATATCAAAGCAACAACAGAGAAGAACAGTTTTTGCTGCATTTCAAAATATACCACACTTATGTGTTGCCCTGTTCTAGAAAGGGATGACTAGTGAGTAGCAAAGCAGAGCTGGAAATGGAACATTTGCCTTTTCATAAGGTTTGAGCCATCCAGACCACTAGCTGAGGTAACAGGGGGAATATCTGCTACCTGCTGCAGCAAAACTTCCTTTAAAGACAGGGCTTGCATTTTTGCTGCCTCTGAGCTCTCCAGGACTGCCAATACAAACACTTCTTGGCATGTGTGGTCCCCCAGACAATGCAAATACACGGAAGGAAGCTCGGAGATGCAGCATGAACTTTACAGATAACACAAAGACAAATGCATCAATTTGATGCCCTCTAATTCTAATAATGGAAGAGTCAGAAAACAACCTATCAATCCCTGTTCACCTCTCCACACTATTCATGACCTCCTTTCTGAGGAAGCCTTCAAACACTTGGATCTAATGCAGCAAGTGGGGTAAAAATAAATCAATGGCTAAGTGTCAAGAACAAATTATCAGCCTAGCAGTCCAGCTTGAAGAAATGCTTAAGACACAGCTGCTCACCACTAAGGGAGAAAAACACAAGTGTCTGGAGCACACACTCCTATGCAACACAATTGGAAACATTTCTGGTCTCATATAGCAGGGCTGAAATACATGCTCACATTGGTAATGAAATTTAGCAGTAGTTTTGCATAGACAAAAAAGGTCTTTACTTATCACAGAATTTCAGATATTAATACCACCCTTTTTTTTCCACCCTCATAGGAAAATCCTGCACTTTATTGCTAAAGTCCGTAAAGTTAGTCTTGCTAACTATCCATAATGGCATGGAATACACAGAGAATCACTTTTTCAGAATATTTTCTATTCGTTTTTTCTAAAAACAAATATGCTCAACGAATAAGAAAAATACCACCTTACCTCTATGTTTGAAGGAGGATGACATGATGGAAAGAACACATACTTGATCTTATTATATGCTTGATATAGGAAAAAAAGGAAAGGTATTGCAATAACCAAGACACCAGCCAGGACACCTATGAATATTGCTATAATGATCAGAGGCAACATTTTATCTACAAAAAAAAAGAGTGAATTAAAAGTATTAATTTTAGGCATTCATAAACTTGCAAGATTAAAGAATAGATGTCCCTCAAACCTATTAAAATATTTATCTTAAAATTTCATGTTTCTATAGTGCTACACCCAGGCTCACACCTGGGTATGATAATCACCATGAACAAGATACTGTTCTAATACCTTAGATTGTTATAATAAAAACACAGTAAAAGATATGCAACAAATGTAAGAACACAGACATCTGTATGCTGCAACAGAACCCGGATCCAACTATTTGACAGCAGGACAAAATGTTTGCACCTGTATGTTGCACCTGATGTATGGAAATTTATTACTGTACTACTTATGTATAGGTTCTTATGCTAAGGAACATGATGCAATTCGAGGGTACTTGATCCTTTGAAAATTCAGAGAGAGAGGAGTAATTTTCTATGGCCTATGGAATAAAAACAAGCAGTGAACCCAGACTGAAGCTGGCCCACAGTTATTTGGTGGGGAAATGATGAGATATGAGATTGCCCAGACCCATGGGGTCTTCAGTTGCACAAAAGTAATCAAACAAGTTTCTCAGAGGTGAGGAACTCCAGGTGCAAACTTTACATGACGATAGCACAGTCAGTGGAGAAAAAAAAATAAAAAGGGATCTTCTGGTGAGCAATTCACCTACCCTTTTTACATGCTTATTAAGGATAATAAAATAAAATAGATCAATCCAATGGATATTCCAACCTATTCTCCATATTGATGGCCTAAGGACTAGGTCAGCTCAAGTCTGGCACTGAAGTGCACAAAAGTGAGCTGCATTTCACTTCAGCACTCAGGTTCCGCCCTCCTGGATTAATTCTGGAGCTGTGGAAAGCCTTCCAACAGGCTCGGTTCAACTTTAGGACTGAAATTTGAGACTCTGTGATGGCTAACAGAATCCGGCTTTGAACAGCAAAATATTGGAGTAATCAAGAAAGCTTTCAGCAGAGTGGTAAGTTGGCCAGTGCTTAAGTTGCAGAGTCTTACAAGTTTCCTTCTCCCCTCTTCTACTTTGCAACATATTATCTGGCATTATCTTATTTAAAAAAAAATACTACACCCATAAGCCTGATGATTTGTCCCCTCATATTTCAGAATATGATTTTTTTAAAAAAATTCACAGTATTCACAGAAAGATCAAGATGACAACATAATCTTGAAAATGTAGCATTTAGTGATTTCTTGCCCCTCCTAAAAATATTAATTAAAGTTTGACCATTAAAAATTCACCATACAGAATGAAGTTTAACTCACAGTCATTACTTTGAGCTTTTAACTTCAAGAAATACTTCTTTCCCATAATACATGTGCTTATCATTATTGATCTGAGACAATGATTTTAAACTAGGGTGTAAACAGGTCCCAAATTCCTCCTACCTCCGTGTGTTCTGATGCATTCTTCCTTGCTGAAGGGACTGCTTTTGTTGTAAGCCTCAGAGAACGCTTGTGCTTTTACACAGTACAACGTTGCAGGGGTTAGATCAGAAACTGTCGCAAGTCTCTGTTTTACTACTTTCATTTTTGCTTCCTCCTGAGAAAACAAAACAAAGCAAAAGAAAGGGAAAGAAAAAGCATTTAAATAAGAAACCCTCAGCTAAATTAGAGTTTTGGCCTCTG